CCGCTCCTCCTCGTCCTCCTTTCCCCGTCCTCTCCTCCTTCCGCTGAATTTGTTCATGAATGACGTGACAACAAGTCGTGGTGTAATTTTCCCCGCTAAATTTAGGTGGGAAACTGAATTGGTGTTGAGGTTAGGCGACGTCGATTTCCCCGCTAAATTTAGCAGGGAAATGTTTCCACTAAATTTAGCGGGAAAGGTTGCCGCTATATCTAGCGGAAATATTTCCCCTCTAAATTTAGCAGAAAAATTTCCCCTAGTGGGAAAATGTCCCCGCTAGTTTTAGCGGGGAAACGTCCCATATTGCAACGCGCGGTTACGCCTACGCCAACGCCGACGACCACGCGGATGGCGACGGCGACGCTGACACCACTCAACCCTGAAACGGGCGCCTAAGAGCTGCGCTCTAAAAAGGTAATCGATTACAAGTAATTTGATAACAGGTAGTCAGTAGCGTACAAGTCTGCTTTTGACAAGTGTCGCGCCCACACTGACCAGCCGCGTTGTGATTAGTTGCTGGTCAGTTTGCCCACTTACTTGACCGAACATCTAGTGTCTCGCCTTGTCCACTTTCTCGATTACTAAGCATTCGTGGAAGTTGTGAGTTCGCATCCACGACGCCAACCACGATGGCAAGATGTATGAAACTCTTCGCACCTCAGGCCTCCGGTGCGTGAAGACACCATTAGGGACTTTTCGTAAACGGCATTTCCGCCTTCGTTACGCCCTCCGCAACGCGCATTTTCGGTGGAAAAGCCACCCTTTTTGATAGGACGTCCAGGTTTATCACCGCCACATCTACTACAGAGTCACAGACAAGTATGACACTCCGTGTGCGTGGAAGCTTGGGGTCATCGCACCGGTGCCCGAGCATATCACCTACGACGCGATTTCTCAATTCGCTTTTGAGTTGAGGATTAGAACTAAGGCAACTCCGATCCATACTTTCGATTTTGGGATTTTGACTCTTTTTAGCGCAGTCAGCATCCCTGAATTGGAAGGTGTAAATTTTTTTTCTCGTTATTGTGCGTAGTTTTAAAGATATCGACGCCTAAAAGTTTTGTTTGGGGCGCGGTCAACAAAACCGAAATTAGCCGCTCGAGGACCCGGCAACACTGGAAATCAGCCGCTATGTGAACGTGACGTCAGGATTGTTCTCGTTCAACGAGTACGCAGACCGAGCGGCACCTACCTCCGTTGCGCTATCCGTCTCAAGATAAAACGTCAGCTTATTTTCTTTTATTTCTGTATAGGTTGTGGAAATCCGGTCAACCCTCGCGCGCCTATGGGCCGTGAAAATTCGGAAGGTCACGTGGCATCCCCATCGGGAAACTATTACGGCCGGCTGCAATGAGCCCCACTGCAGAGCCGCCGATGGCCACTATCACAGCCAGGATCACGCGCGCAGCGTCATTTGTTCCATCGGTATGTCGAATTCAGCCTAAGAGTGAAATGATCGAGCCACGCATGACGATCACTTTGCTCGGTTTTCCTTTTGCCGCGCTTCTGGATACCGGGGCTGCTATCTCGCCTATAGGAGACGGACCGTGGTCACGGAGGCGTGCAGTTCGGACGCTCCGTCAATGTTTTACGTTGATACTAACGATCCATTCCTGTTACTCTAATAAATGTAGTTTCTCGTTATGGAAACCCCGGCTTCGTGTTGTTCCTCCCGGATGGGCATGCAGCAAGGCAACCCTACCACAAGGTGGTAGTTATCCTGCATAGGTAGTGAGAGTTAGTACGTATACCCAAAAGCTAGCGACTTCAAAACGAGTGAACCCGTTCGATGCAGTACTCAGCGGCCGCCGCCGTGCGTGCGCTATGCCGTACTCGTCGCTTATATTCCCAAAAGCTAGCGACTGGAAAACGAATGAACTCGTTCGGTGCCGTACTCGGCGGCCGCCGCCGTGCGTGCGCTATGCCGTACTCGTCGCTTGTATTCCCAAAAGCTAGCGACTGGAAAACGACTGAACTCGTTCGGTGCCGTACTCGGCGGCTGTCGTCGTGCGTGCGCTATGCCGTACTCGTCGCTTGTATTCCCAAAAGCTAGCGACTGGAAAACGACTGAACTCGTTCGGTGCCGTACTCGGCGGCTGTCGTCGTGCGTGCGCTATGCCGTACTCGTCGCTTGTATTCCCAAAAGCTAGCGACTGGAAAACGAGTGGAGTCGTTCGGTGCCGTACTCGGCGGCTGTCGTCGTGCGTGCGCTATGCCGTACTCGTCGCTTGTATTCCCAAAAGCTAGCGACTGGAAAACGACTGAACTCGTTCGGTGCCGTACTCGGCGGCTGTCGTCGTGCGTGCGCTATGCCGTACTCGTCGCTTGTATTCCCAAAAGCTAGCGACTGGAAAACGACTGAACTCGTTCGGTGCCGTACTCGGCGGCTGTCGTCGTGCGTGCGCTATGCCGTACTCGTCGCTTGTATTCCCAAAAGCTAGCGACTGGAAAACGACTGAACTCGTTCGGTGCCATACTCGGTGGCTGTCGTCGTGCGTGCGCTATGCCGTACTCGTCGCTTGTATTCCCAAAAGCTAGCGACTGGAAAACGAGTGAACTCGTTCGGTGCCGTACTCGGCGGCCGCCGCCGTGCGTGCGCTATGCCGTACTCGTCGCTTGTATTCCCAAAAGCTAGCGACTGGAAAACGACTGAACTCGTTCGGTGCCGTACTCGGCGGCTGTCGTCGTGCGTGCGCTATGCCGTACTCGTCGCTTGTATTCCCAAAAGCTAGCGACTGGAAAACGACTGAACTCGTTCGGTGCCATACTCGGTGGCTGTCGTCGTGCGTGCGGCCTTCCGTACTCGTCGCTAGACCTGATTTTTTTCGTGGCTCCGCGGATGGAGCGGCGTTGCTCTACGCCGCCCTGACCAGTGACGTACTGTACTGGGGGCCCTCTCGCTTTCGCGCTGCGGGTGTGTCCCAGACACGAAGCTTTGAGGCTCTCCGGCGTGGGCCGCGGTGCCCGAACACACGTGTGCTATGCTGTACACGTCTGTTTTAGAGCGCAGCTCTTAGGGGCCCGTTTCCGACTTGAGCGGCGTCGCCGTCGCCGTCGTCGTAACCGCGCGGTGCATTATGGGAAATGTCCCATAATGCACCGCGCGAGGCCCCACGGGGTCACGTGACCCCCAGGTCACGTGACCCCTTCCCCCGAGGTAACGTGACCCCGATGACGTCATCAGTGACGTCACTGATGACGTCACCGGCGTCCGCATCGTCATCGTCATCATCACTGGTGACGTCATCAGGGACGTCACTGATGACGTTATCGGTGATGATGATGAGAATGCCGGTGACGTCATCAGTGACGTCACTTATGACGTCATCGGTATCCGCATCGTCATTGTCACTGATGACGTCATCAGTGAAGTCACTGATGACGTCATCGGCATCGTCAATGTCAGGTGAACCCAGGTCACGTGACCGCCCCGTCACGTGAACCCCCAAGGTGACGTGACCCCCCAAGGTCACGTGACCCCCCTCCGAGGTCGCTTGACCCACCCCCCCCCCCAGTACCCTTCCCTCCTCTAATTCGGCGTTACAGGGAGTTGTAAACGGCTTACACTTTTTTAGAGCGCAGCTCTTAGGCGCACGTTTCCGTCTTGAGCGGCGACGCCGTCGCCGTCGCCGTCGGCGTAACTGCCCGGTGCATTATGGGTAAATTTCCCCGCTAAATCTAGCGGAAAAATTTCCCCGCTAAATCTAGCGGAAAAATTTCTCCGCTAAACCTAGCGGAAAATTTTTTCTGGGAGACACGTGACCTGGAGTAGGGGTCAGGTGACCCCTACTCCAGGTAACGTGACCCCCCCCTCCGAGAACACGTGACCCTCACTACCCTTTCCTCCTCCTCCTCAAGAGCTGCGCTCTAATTCGGCGTTACAGGGAGTTGTAAACGGCTTTCATTTTTTTCGTTCTTCTTTCCTCGGGCGCGCAAAAGCCGAAGTCCAAAGTCCACTCGTCGAACAGCGTTCACCCACACCTTCTCCAATTTCCGGTCCATTGGAAACTTGTGAAAAAGCACCTCCGGGTTGCGCAGCGGGTACTTTGAGTAGCCCACAGCGCTACAAGTTGTGTTCGGCATCTTTCGAGGAACAGCTGGACAGTCTTGGGCGCACCGAGTTGCTCGCTAAAACGAGTCTTGTAGTCCTCACAAGCAAATAAACAAAAGGCTATACCACCTTTTGTTTATTTGATTATCCCATTAGCTTCTCGTAACCCTCTGCTCACATCACCCGATGAATCTGGGAACTTTGCAAGGTACTTGCGAGAGGAATGCCTTCGCGTCTGCTACCATCATCATGATCTTCACTTCCCCACCTCTCTTGCTTTGGAATCATAATTCATCACCATCGCTACCGTCATCAACAACATCATCGTTAACACCACCACCTCCATCATCACTGCCATCAGAATTTTAACGGTTCTAAAGCTGGGGTAGTACTATAACTCCCAACGCGCACGGCGGCAGGCTGGCAGACGCACACGCGTAAGGGATTTTGCCTATCTGCTTTGCCTGGCACGCCGCCGTGTGCGCACCAACTTAAGTGCAAATAGATCACTCACTCACTCACTTACTCACTGAAGCTACACGGGCTACAGAAAAATGCAACGGATAAACACGCCAAACACAAGCCGAAGTAGCGGTGGTGGCGGCTCAAAGAAGCGCACTCCGCTCAACGCCCGGACCGGAGGAAAAAAAAAAAGAGAACGATACTGACGTCACGGCACAATGTTGCTTTAGCGATCGGCAACCCGCTGGCCGCCCGCTAAGGAGCAGCGGCTCGGGGCGGGTCGCATTCTTATTATCGGCATTAGTTGAGAATGCGGCATCCCCCCCCCCCCCCCCCCCCCCCCACGTAAGTTTTTGGCTGGGGTAGTATTTTGTGTCACTACAGCGATACCAGTAATTTATTTAATTTTAAGTTTCGGCCGGAGTTGCCCTTGAAAAAAATGTCCTGTTCATTGTACCGATTGCGGGATGACACGAGCTTTTTTCTCAATCTACAGGCTCGATAGGGTAGCAAGACAAGCGCCGATGCAGCAGGTTAGCCTGAAATGCGTCGTAAATAAGTTACACGTAGAGTATCGGACTTAGAGTTAACTACGGTGTCTGAAACGCGTCTCCAACTGGTGTGTTTACCGCGTCGAAAAAAGTGGTCCCTCGAGTTCCGCCCGGTGACGTCAAAAAAGCGTCATGCTGTCGCCGGTCGCGATCCTGGCGGTGTTCCAGCAGCGGTGGTGGATGTAGCAGACGCCTGTTTTGCTGCAGGTCGCTCTCTGGTGTGACAGTCTACGGAAGCTTCAGCAGGCAGACGTTGGGACCCCATGACGACAGCGACACTCGTATTCGCTCGTGCTTTTCGCCAGCGTTTATACACCCGACCGCCAGGATCGCGCAATGGGACAGCATGACACACCGGCTTCTGTGACGTCATTTGATGCCACTTCGGAGCCACTTTTGATGTAGGGGAAGCATAGGACGCTAACACACCAGTCGGAGACGAGTTCCAGGCATCATAGAGTTTGCATAATAATCTACTGGGTGTTTCAAGAAGTGGTCATGCTCTTTAAATCGACCGCAAAATTTGCTTTTTTAACCTATCACTCTACGACTTTGTGCAGCGTTGCCCACAGATGGTGCATTTTGTTTTTGTAAAATTTGCAAAGAGCGATATTACCTGAGAAAAAAATGAAAGCCGCTTACAACTCCCTGTAACGCCGAATTAGAGCGCAGCTCTTGAGGAGGAGGAGGGAAGGGCACTGGGGGGGGTTAAACTAACCAGGGGGGGGGGGGTCACGTTACCTTGGGGGTCACGTGACCCCCAATGCCGATGATGTCATCACTGACGTCACTGATGACGTCATCAGTGACGATGACGATGCGGGTACCGATGACGTCATTAGTGACGTCACTGATGACTTCACCAGTGATGATGACGATGACGATGCGAATGTCGGTGACGTCATCAGTGACGTCGCTGATGACGTCATCAGTGATGATGACGATGACGATGCGGATGCCGGTGACGACATCAGTGACGTCACTGATGACGTCATCAGTGATGATGACGATGACAATGCGGATGTCGGTGACGTCATCAGTGATGATGACGATGACGATGTGGATACCGGTGACGTCATCAGTGATGATGACGATGACGATGTGGATGCCGGTGACGTTATCAGTGATGATGACGATGACGATGTGGATGCCGGTGACGTCATCAGTGATGATGACGATGACGATGCGGATGCCGGTGACGTCATCAGTGATGATGACGATGACGATGTGGATGCCGGTGACGTCATCAGTGATGATGACGATGACGATGTGGATGCCGGTGACGTCATCAGTGATGATGACGATGCGGATGCCGGTGACGTCATCAGTGATGACGATGACGATGTGGATGCCGGTGACGTCATCAGTGATGATGACGATGACGATGTGGATGCCGGTGACGTCATCAGTGATGATGACGATGACGATGTGGATGCCGGTGACGTCATCAGTGACGATGACGTCATCGGGGGGTCACGTGACCTCGAGGAGGGGGCCACGTGACCTCAGGGGAGTCACGTGACCCCCCACGAGGTCACGTGACCTTGGTGGGGGGCTCGCGCGGTGCATTATGGGACATTTCCCATGATGCACCGCGCGGTTACGCCGACGCCGACGGCGACGGCGACGGCGACGCCGCTCAAGCCGGAAACGGGCCCCTAAGAGCTGCGCTCTAAAAGTAAAGAAAGAAATAGGCTTAGCTCCTATGGAAATGCGGCGAAGCCAAAGGTCTTCAAACAATACGGCCCCGGTTCGCACGGGAGACAAGAGATGGCGCAGGCGGTCGGGACGCCAACTGCGCCAATGAACGAGCATACGGCGCCGAAAGCCGGCGTCTTTAGCAGACGATTTTTTCGACTCAAAAGCGGCGCAAGCTTTTTTGATATCAGTTGCCAATGCATATATTTTATCATCCTTACTGATAAAACATATTGTATGGACACATAATCGATTAGAAAAATGGTTTGTCAGGATATTTTGACTTTTTTTCGGGGTACCGTTGTCGTCTGCCTTGCAGTTCCTTGTTACCGCGCTTGTTTTTGTTTCTGTGACTGTCGCCGCCTGCGGAACGCGCTCCGCTTTTGAGTCGAAAAGATCGTCTGCTAAAGACGCCGGCTTTCGGCGCCGCAGGGTTGGGCAGTATCGCGATAGTATTTCAGAAATATATTTCGTATCTGTATTTCTGTATCGCGATGCATTGTTTTCACCAGTATCTGTATTTCTGTATCGAAATACATTTTGAATGTCTTTTTGTATCGCGATACAATCAGGGTGAAATTTATTTCCTTACATTTCTTGAGAAATACTCCCCCCCCCCCCTTCAAAAAAATATCCGAAGGCATTTTTTTTCTTTGAAGGGCACTACACTCTAAGAAAAAAGGGAGGAGAAAGGTAGCAAAAGCGACTGTTCCTCCTTGTTGCGGACAAGTTGCCCAGAGAAGGGAGGAACGGCAGTTCAGATGAAAGGAGGAGGGTGAGTTCCTCCTTGTTCAGTTGGCGAAGGGGTAGAACATCGCGCTACTGACCAAGTAAGTGGTCAACGGTTCGATCCCCAGGAAAGTGTTTTTTTTTTTTTTTTGTAAAGTTTTTTTTTTATTTTTGTTTACCAAAACACACATAGACAAACCCAGACCGATGAAAGGAAAATTAAAGTCCTTATTATTCTCCGAGACGTTTTCCTCCTCCAGGCAGACCGGAGAAAGCTTTCGCCCTCCCGACCCATCTTCTTTCGGTTTCGTTTTTCGAGCACATCGCGCACGTTGTTTAATAAATTAATGTTGAGTTGATTGAGCTTCAGCGGCAGCGAAGGCCGCCTGTAATTCCGTCTTCTAGTCCAAACGTGCAGAACATTTCGGTTGCATTGACCTTTTTACCACTAATTTTATCAAATGAGCTAACGAAGCCGCTAGAAACAGCGAAGTTCCGGAGCAGTGCCAGCAGCGCTACATACACTGGGTAAGACGGCCGTCTCCAATTTGCGGGACACACGCGGAACTACAGCAGCGAAACCACGAGGAACTGTGTCGACGTTTTCGACGTTATGGAAATCGCGGGAACTGCGTCCAAGGAAGGCAGGTTTTCCTGCCGGCTGCCTGGGTGCCTTCCGTGCTGAGTTCGGTTCCGTTGTCCCGTGCCGAGTGCCAACCGGCGTTCAACGTGATTCTTCTGCGTGTCAGCAACATCGTCAACGTGGTTCTGTATTTCTTCGTGTCGGCGACATCGTGATGGCAGTGTTGTGGGTTGTGAACAGAAGACTGGAATTATCGCCGATGTGACCGTGTGTTCGCGTATCAGTGGTGTAACAACAAGATGAGATGACGTAAACTGTCGGGCATTGATGCCACTGGTCGGGCCGTTATCGGAGGGGCCGGAGTGTCGCAGGATGACATTCCGCTTTACATTAAAGAGTTTAAAACCACTTGAGGGATTAGGTGCAGTCGATCGACGTGTGGATAGTCATGTTGGAACGCTGGTCTGAACGGTAAGCTCCTATCGTACAGTGGCCAATGTGACTGTCGGTCCCCGAGAGCGATTGCGCTCTGGGGAAAAGACAACACTACGAAAGTATGACGGAAAGTACGTATATTTATAATGGAAGTTTAGCATAAAAAAAAAAGAAGACAGGCAAAATCGAAAAAAAACAAAACGCTATCCTTTATTTTACTGTTTAAATATATTACGGTTCCTGTAGAAACTGCCCTCTAAGTGGCGCGCTGGGATGAGCGCTAGAAGTTTTCGAGCTCGCAACGGCGCAGCTCCGTACACTTAACGGTTGTCGGAAGTCGCGGCTTTGACTGCATTCAAGTTGATCGAAAAGCGATTTCTGTGCCCGTGAAGCATCACTTCCAGCTGAGTGGATATCCGCTCTACAGAGATTAATTCAAGACGGCAATTGCAGCTTTGCGCGAACAGCACAAATAGAAAAACGAACACTACAATATGAATACTGGCTACGAAGGGCCATGCGGGAAAACAAACTCATGGCTTGGAACCACATTGGAGCGGCTCGATTTATTGGCTTTCAAATAATTATGGCATGATTGAGCGTCTTCTTTTTAATAAGAGATTCATCCCCTGAGCCATTAAAAATAGCCTCAGATGTATGACATTGCTGGAAAAAAATTAACATGTTCGGAATATTTTTTTTTGCTTAGGGAGTCACCGAAAAATTCCGCACGTTCAAAACGACCACTATAAAAGACGGAAACGCAGGGCTCGCTAGTAGTGATCGGGGTAGTTTGCTGTTGTATTGATGTTTGTATGTGCGATGCCTGTGTATGCGTTCAATATATGTTGACCTGATGTTTGTAGTGTGCGCAACGTGTCTACATGTGTTAGAGATCCGAAGAAAAGGAAACGCAATTGTGGCGTAAGAAAATAAATATATTTTTTTGTAAAACATGAATTGGGCGGTACCTAGCGCCACCTAGCCTAGCTACGTGCGATTACTCTGCTTGACCCTGCCATCTGGTGGCAAGCGATTTAACATCCTTTTACGCTACGCGGCTACGCCAGCTACGCCATAATTTCGTGTTACCGTGCTGAGATAAGCCAAGAGGTTGCTTCGGATTCGCTTTTTTTTGAGAGCGGCTTTTGGTTTTGCGGGCGAATGATTTTCACTCCTCCGTGATGTGCGGTTCACGCTACGGTTGACGAAGGAATTGTGGCTCGAGGAATAGCAAAGGTAGGACATAAAGTGCGCGAACTGAGTGCCGGTTGTCTCCGTTGAACATCGCAGTGCTGACGATGAGAAGACTGAGTGACTGCATGCTTTCGAAACGTAAGTTTCTTTACCTGCAGGGGCAAAGAAACTTCGGAAATAAATACAGTTCGCGGAAAGCTCGTGTTACGTTTTTATTTCCTGCTCCTCTCGCTTCGTGCAATAGACTTAGTGTTCTCGTTAAGCCTTACCGAGCTCGATTTGCTCGATTCGTGGCCGCCATAATGAGATGCAGTCGACGGAGGAACTTTTCCTCCCCTGCTTAAGG